GATTCCTGGTACCGGAAGAAAAACAAAAACAAACAAACAAACAAAAAAAAAAAAAAAACAAGAGAAAACAAAGTGGAAATAGAGATCCCACCCCAGGGAGACTGCCTCCTCCCATCTGCCTCTCCGTGCATTTAAAGGTAAATCCCAGACCAGAGGTTGAATCCCACTGCGAGAGATGGGATAAAACCTGAAGGATCAAAAGCAATTCTGTGGCCAGATATGGTGACTCGTGCACGTAATCCCAGCTCCTCCAGAGGCTAAGACAGGAGAATCACAAGATCAAGGCCAGCCCGGGGAACTTAGCAAGACCCTATCTCAAAAACAAAAACTGATCTTAAAAAGCAACTCTGTGGATCCTGGGCACTTGTGACTTGGGGATTATCTCCTCTCTCTTTAAATCCAGTGGGAGATACACAGATCAGCCCCTGGTCCTCAGTGTTCCCCTAAACACTACTATATAGAGTAACCAACACCCCAGGGGAACGTGAGCTCACAGACCAAACTAATTAGCCTCCTGAGGAGGGCAACACAGCAAAAGGACAACAAACATCTACAGTCAGAAGCAAAATGACTGGAATAAACCAGCCAAGAATATGCACAGTAAATATGCATTCAACAGAACCAATCGTGTGAAACTTTTTTCAAAAAAGAGGAAACTAAGCTCAGGAAAATAAGGAATTTAAAAATACAGAGAAAAAACAAGAAATCATTTTTATCTCTTTAATAAAGTATAATGAACATGCAATACGGTGCACATGAAGTACTCCTTTTGATGAGTTTTGACATAGTATACCCCTGTGAAACAAACCATCACTACAATCAAGAGAATGAACCCCTTCATCACCTCTGAAGATTCCTTCTAACCTTTTGTCTTCAATCATTTCAGGCTGTAATGACAGAATGGTTTAGAAAGGGTACTTTGTAAGCAACAGAAATACCATTTCTTACAGTTCTGGATGCTGGAAGTCCAGGGGCACCTTCTCTGTAAGAGCCAGCTTCTTCAGAGATATGAAATCACTTGTATGATGGCACAAAAGGCTCTACCCTCGTGACCTAATCCCTTCCCACAGCCCATGTCCTAATCCCATCACCTTGGGGCTTAGGAGTTCAACACAGGACTTGGGGAGAAAATAAGCATTCAGACCATGACATCCGTGCAACCCACCCTTCCCTCCACCTCCATCCCAGATAACCACTGAACAGCTAGGGGTTAATGCATATAGTATACATTGGGCTTTATATATATAAGGGTCTATATATAATATACAGGGCCTTATATATATACCTGGGGATATACATATATATCTATATTTATATATTTTATATACTTATATATAAAATATATAAAACATATAACATGATACATATATTTATATATTACATTTCTATTTACATATATTTATATTTATATATTTTTTGTACAAGTGGAATATCATAGCTTGCCTTCTTTTGTATCTAGTTTATTTCACTCAGCATAATTTTTAAGTTCATCCCTGGTATTGTACTTATTGGAAACTTATCCTTTTTATGGCTGCATAGTATTCTATTGTACAGATAAACTACAACTTGTTTATCTATCTATCTGTTAATATACACCTGGAATGTTTCTTGTTTGGGGCCTATTGTAAATAAACCTGTTATAAATATCTACATTCAAGTCTTTTTGTGGATGTGTGTTTCTGTTTCTTTTGGGTAAAAAAGGTAGGAATGGAATGGCTGGGTCATATGGTAGATGCTTGTTAAACTTTTAAGAAATGACCATTATTTTTCCAAAGTGGTGGAGCCATTCAGAATTCCTACCAGTGGTGTCTGAGAGCTCCAGTTCTTGCAGTCTTGCCAGGACTGAGTTTGATGCGGCTTTTTAATTCTGGCAGTTCTATTGGATGTGTAGTGCCATCTTGTGGTTTTTATCACCCTTCGTTGTTGGTAGACCTCTGTAGCCATTCTGCAGTAATCTGGTGATATTTAGTCACGTTACGCATTCTCATACAGGTCCAAAGGGGCAGTGTATCAAGTGTCACCCTTCACAGTACAGTAGCAGCAAGTTGGGTGGGTGACTGCGGAGGCCACATTGTAGGGCACCAAAAGAGGTGATTACTAAAAAGATCCACCCCAGAGCCCAAAGAGACTAAGTCTAAGGAGCACTGAGAAGGTACGGACTCCAAAGAGAC